CACTTTTCTCCAAGTGCATTCTGGGTAAAACTCCTCACCAACCGTCCACCAACGGCTCCATTGGTCGCTAGGCAACGGCTTGTTAACGGAGTGGAGCGTAGTTACGGAGCTAGCTAACATGAGCGGAGCTAATGGGCGGAAAAAAAGCAGCGGGAAAGCGGAAAGAGAAGTGGGGAAGGCCAATTTACAAAAACCGGTTCCGTTTTGTTTTATTTTCCCGGAGATGAAGCCAACTTTTCTGTTGGCAGCAGTTCAGAGCCGCCGAAAAACGCCAGGTTAGTAACGGTTGGGAATTAGTAACGGTTGGGAGTTCTTGGAGGTTGTTGATGGCTGTAAACTGTCGCTGTCCAGCCGTCTAGCCATTTATCTCGGTTTATTATACTTGACATAGTCGTTTTAAGTGGTTTTTAAGCTCAAAAGTGGAATGTGTATGTTGTAAAATGATGTTAGCATTAGCTTTATTAATCGGGTGTAAAGGGCCCGGTCCTTTGTCCCGCCCCGGCCCGGTTCTGATTGGTTCCGCTAGGGCTCAGGTGGAAACAGGGCAGCCATTCTGAGGGGCTCAGAGCAGAGAAAAAAATGTGTATATATATATTTCAAAGCTTCGGTTCCCTCCCCTCAGATGGCAGAAAGAGGGTGGGACAAACGGAGCCAGAAGCAGCGAGCAGCGGAGGGGAGCAGACCGTCTCTGTCCCGGAGCGGCGGCTGGTTCTGGCGTATGGAGCTGACCTGAGATGGAGAACAGGATGAGGCTGTTCCTCCTCTGGATCGGTGAGTGGACGCTTTTCCACAGGCCGGTGCATGGGCTGGAGTCTGGTCCTGGTTTCTGGTCCTGGTTTCTGGTTCCGGTACCGTTTCTCCGGAGCTAAAGGTGGAATAGACGGGGCAGAAGCTAAAGGAAAGCCTCTCAAACACACTCAGGACGTTTCTATTCCATTTGAATATTCAGAAAGAATCTGTAAGAAGAAAGAAAATTAATTTTGTTCTGGCTGAAGAGGAAGCTGAACCGGATCAGACCTCTGACGTTAGACTACCCTAAAAAAACTTGATTAGTTTTTATATTTTACATATTTTTTCTATGACTTCGACGTCATATGTTGGAAATTGAGCAAATTTCACTTTGTATGTTGGAAAATTCGTATCTTTATGCATCGGAAGTAGAGGTTCTGCTGTGTGTGTGTCTGTGTATATTAGGGGTTGGACGGTTCAAAATCCACGCTTTTCGGTTCGATTCACGGTTTCGTCGTGACGGTTTTCGGTTCGGTATGTGTTGATTATTATGAAAATCTATTATGTCTTGTATAGTCAGGTTAAAACTGAAATAAAAAAGCAGTGTGACATGTGATCCATTATTGTGACAGTCTGAGGTTAAAGTAGGTGAGATTCTGCCAGAGAGGAAACAGTGCTAATTCCAGCATGAGCTTCCCTCTAAATGTAAGCTGGTCCATACAGCAGACCTAGAAACTTCTTCTTCTTCTTTTCTATTTTGGCGGATCACAAGCAACTTTTAGGT